TGGTCAGTACGTGTATGTTGTGAGCCTGGAAATAGGCCTCAGCTTCCTCGAAGCCATTATTAGGGAGAAGGTCAGTCAGGATATCGTGTTTTCGCGGTGAGGAGTGCTTTGCTAACATAGTAAACAGGTAACTGATGGTCATTTTCTTCCCTAATCAGAACTGAGCTTACCGCCTCGGTGGTTACCACCAAGTATAGGTACAATACTTCATGGTCTGCTGGTTTGGAAAGGAGAGGTGCTTGTCCCAGATGCTTCTTTAGTTCCTATAGGGTCACCTCACATTCTTCTGTCCACTGGAATTTGGTTGTATCCATAGTAGGTGCCCATGAAGCTGAGGAGCTCATGTCCAACAGTTGAATCTACAAGTTGGTCTATCCTGGGGAGTGGGAAGCTATCCTTTGGACAGACTTGATTTAAATTCGAGATATCAATACATACCCTCCACTTCCCGTTGTGCTTTTTCACCATAACTGAGTTGGAGATCCACTTCGAATACATGGACTCCCTAATGAAGCCATTGTCAATCGGTTTCTTAACTTCATCCTTTAGGGCTTCATATCTTTCCTGGTTAAGGGTTCTCCTCTTTTGCCTGTGAACCATGACCTGCGGATCAATATTCAAGTGGTGGCAGCTGACCTTGGAATCAACGCCTATCATGTCACCGTGCTTCCAGGCAATATATCAAGGTTTTTACACAAGAAGTTTTTCAACTTCTCCTTCATTTCATGTGGCGGATTGTTTTCAACTTGTAGGTATTTTGTTGGGTCCATCAGGTCAGCTGTGCAGGTTTCATTTTTCAGGAGTTTCGATCATGAGGACATCTTCTCCTTGTTCAGGGGCGATCCATTGTTCAGGGAGGTCATCCATATCGATGTCAGTGAAGATAACATGTGTACTTGGTTCGACTTTCCTCAATAAGTTGGAGTAGCATTATCTGGATCCTCTCTAGTCTCCTTGAGCTGTGGTGATGCCCTTTTTGGTAGGGAACTTCATGCACAAATGGTAGATTGAGGTGACCGCCCATAGTTCTTTTAAGGCGGGTCTTCCAAGCATCCCATGATAGGTTGATCGGTTATCCACCACAAGGAATTCCATAAAATTGCGAGCAATCAGGGGCTTTGCCCCTATCTCTATTGTTAGATTGATCTTGCCCTTAGGGATGATACTATCCCCTATGAAGCCATATAAGGGAGAACTTACTGGGGTAAGCTCGTTGTCAACCTTCATTTTGTCAAATGTAGTACCAAACAAGATATTAACTGAGCTTCCATTATCCACCAACATTCTTTTCATACCATTGCAGGCCACGACGACCCTTATTACTAAGGCATCGCGGTGCGGATAATGTACACCCATCGTGTCCTCTTGAGTAAAAGTAATTGGAGGTGAGACCCTCCCACTTGCAGATTGATTTACTATGTAGCTTGTCATAACTGGGTCGACTACTTCCCTGGAATAATTCTTCTGAGAATTTCTGGAATCTCTACCCACGTGAGGACCACCAATGATCGTGTCGATCTCTCGAATGGGTTCATATTCATTGCCTGGGATGTATTGTTACTGCCTTGGCCCTCCCTGGATTCTTTAGTATCATTATCCATTCCTCGTGGAGAGTTATTCCTGATTAGGTCGACGCTGTTCAATGTTCCGATGTTGTAGGTTTTGCCTAATAGAAACATTTCTTGGGGGGGATCTCGCAGTTTCCCGACAGTCCTTTGTCTGATGCCCATTAGATTGGTGATATGAACAATACTGTGGTGCATCATTCCTATTTCTAAGTTCAGCACCTCACCCCCATCATTCATATTTCTAAGTTCAGCACCTCACCCCCTTTGTAGATTCCTTGGGTTGGGTTGGGTTGGGTTGACGCTGGCGCATTCTAGTGCTAGGATTGACTTCTTCGTAGGCGAGGGTAGGTACTACATTGAGTGTCGCAGCAGCGAGTTCCTGTCCATGATTCATTGGGACTTGGTTATCCATCAAATGGGAGGTGGGACCCATTTCCCTTCGCATTTGTGCAGGCGGCAAACCTTGGCTGGCCCTATTCCTATGATCTTTCAGCTCATCATTCAGAATTTCGCGCCTTATCATTTCTAATAGCGCATCATAGGTGGCAGGGTCCTTGTTTTGTACATCTCACCAGAAAAGGGAGTTCATGCCTAAACCTCATCCTAAGGCAGTCAAGGCTTCTTTATCCGTGACTTGTACACAGTATGTCATTTCATCGGTAAAGCGCAAAGTAAAACTTTTAAAGGATTCACCTTGTCGTTGTCTCATATCTTGCAACCTTTGGATGAGTCTTTCTCCCTCCTTGCTGATTGCGAAGCATTTCAAGAATGCTTTCTTGAATTCTGGCCAACTTCATATGCTTCTTTCTGGTAGCCTGGCGTGCCAGATTTCTGCTTTTCCGCTCACGGTCAAGTGGAAGGCTCTACATTTCATTGCTAGGGTGGCTCTTTTCAGATTCATATGCATTTTGTAATTGTCTATATTTAGCGGGGTCGCCTCTCCCATCATATTTTTATATTCTAGGGAGTACGAAGTGGCTTAGCATAGGAGTACTCCTTATGGCCTCGGAGAAAGGAGAATGCTCATTATCATCATCAAGATAGTAAGACCTCTGAGGTCCATCTGGGTTCTCATCCTCCCTTGGGTTGGTCAGGGAAGGTTCCTGCTTCGTTCCTGGCCTGTTCTCATCTTTTGCACCTACTTCTAGGGGGACGGACAGGAGGCATTTCATTCTTATACATATTGCTAGGTACTTGAGGTGGATTAGCTTGCTTATTTCTAGGCCTCTTCGGACTTATGTTGTCAAAAATGCTCATGGATCTCTGGGGTCTCTCTTCTCGTGACCTTTTCGAGGCGTGATTGGTTGATGAATCTACTTCATCCTCTACTTCCTGAGGAGCTTCCATCCCATAATAGCAATGTCCAGCCATTTGACTCTGGACCTCCTCTTCCTCTTGGTAATATGCTTGAGCTTCTGAGAGGACATCTTCAGGGGCTGTGTATTGTGGGGGCCTGATAGCCTCTTTGTCCTTGCATGGCTTGGTTCTGCTGAGTGATGTTCCTTATATTGGCTATCATCGTTGCCATTTCCCTAGATAACCTGGCTGCAACTCCACCTCCACCTCTGGGACCTCCTCTTCAGCGCATTGGAGGTCTCAGTTGGGCTGCTGGGATAGCTTGTGAGGGTTCTCCTTCTTAGGACGTTCCCTCATTCTTCTAGGGGCATTTTCGTCAGTGAAACTTATCTCTCAGTTACTTAATATGCAATTTTGTTCCCTTCTTCAGGGGTTTCAAGTTCTTAATAATTCCTTTTGCAAGGATGTTCCTTTTTCAAAGACAAGAACATTCATTCGCCAAACATTTAGAAACGTAACTTTAGCTTTTTTTTCCCGCGTATGTTCGTGGTTAAGTGTAAGTCTTTCCACAGACGAGCCAATCTGTAGACCCCAAAAAATGAACTCAACAGATGTCGAGCCCACTCTCGCCACATTAAGTACGGATCCGACACGTTTCTACCGGAATAAGAATGATAGTTTGACTGTAATGAACGTGAGAGGCACTTTCCGGCGAAAGACAAAACTGTTCGGTCTCCGGTGATATGATTCTGGGACAATCACGCTATCAATTATCGCCTTTAAACAAGATAATAATCCATAATAAACATCGCTTTTGTAATGAAATATGTGGAAGGATAGATATGATAAGCAGATGTGTTTTCTCCTTTTTGTAAGATTTCAAGTATTTGTGTAAATGTATGCTTGTCTATCTTTGCCTTTAATCCATTCGTCCATTGTTTATACAAATTGAAGCTATGTATACAAGTTATGCCGAAGTGGTGACCGTTAGATCAAAACCACGTGGCAACATCCTCCATGCCGAAGCTTAACGTCACTGTCCCATCTATGCAATCAATGTTCTGCAGAGGGCGGGCCGTTCTATTCTTAGGCTGAGACAGTGACATTCTGACACATTTTATTACAAATATCATATCAATCATTCCTAAGAGATCTTCCAATCCATTACATGTGGCAGCATCGGACTGGAGGGCCTCGGATGACTTAAGAGGGCCACGGTTGGTTATTGTGCCTCGTCTTTGCAAAGGTGCTTTAGGGTGGACCTTATTGCACTGTATGAGGGGTTCGGATACTGGATTAAGGACCTCGGCCAGTTGCCTCATTGGGGTCTCTGACTTGTTGGGCCTCCTTTTGACTTTCCGCTGATAGTCCTGCCTACGTGGCTTTACTTCTTTAGACCTCGGAATTGAGGGGTAACATATCACACATTCTTTCCTCTTCTTTTTCCATCGATCATACTACCTTCTTTTATTTCCATCGCCACGTTCTCAAGTGAATATCAGTAACATGTTAAGGTAAATAAACATCAGGTTACAACTAGTATTAGCAGAGCCTACCAACTTGACCAACAGCCAACGATTATTACCCAACAGCCACCACAAATTCTGGAGGTCAAACTTCGTAGCTCAAGGTAGAAAACATAATAATCAATTCCACCCCGACAATTTTCATGTCTAACGTGTCTCAATTTTCATTGGTTCAGTTTTTCAACTTAAAATTTTGCAAGCATGAGAGGTGAAGATCTCGTTTAAGTAGTAAGATCGAAACATTTCCAGGTCATTGACTTGTTGAAAATCAGAAAAACATAAAATGTTGTATAATCATTCGTATAAAGAAGATCCTCTACGTGTCAGTCATTACCAAATAAAGAAATCTAAGGACCCGTTTGATTTTCATTATTGTAGAATGAGAATGAAAAATATAGTCGTTATTGGACCCCACAAGAGATAGAAATTCAAAATTGATGGTTTGATACGATTGATAACGGTCATATTTTTCATTTTACGGATGAAAAATGAGAAACAAACGGTGACAGAATAGCATTTTATCTGTAACTCATTCACATGAAATTATTTAATATCTAGCTCAATCATTTTACACCCAACCCAAGCATCTGAGAAAATCTAAAAAAATGCCTCAAAACTCAATTAGAACCTTAACACATTTTGGTTCCTTGAGCAGCTCAAATGCCTGGCTTATTTCTTCTAGTTGAACTTGATGAGTCAAAAGCTCGCCTAGATTTTTAATTTCCTGCAAAGAATCAGGCTATAAGCAATCATGGATAACCAAAACTATTTTGTAGCATAGAATTTTGGTGAACCGTACCCCGTTAACACATTTGTCTATTACAACGGGGAGGTCAGATTGGACCTTAACCCCACCAAAAATTGAATACTTGAATGTTCTGCAACACAAGACCGTTGAGAAGTTTATCTCCATGCTTTTCTGGGTTCCTGCTCCGAGCATTATCATTGTACCTATCCCCTGGATCACAAAATAGACATTAATATGACTTAACAATTTGTTTGCCCAATAAGACAAGTGCTTGTCAATTAAACTTCGTATCTGTGTACTTACCACTTTCGTCGCTTCAAGAGCTTCATTTACCAATGGAGCAACCCCTGTGCACTCAAAGCAGTAGTCCACGCCTAATCCTCCGGACACTTCTTTCACTAAATCAGATATGGATTTATCAGAATTAGTGGGGTTTATAAAATCTGTCATTCCAAATGCCTCTGCTATTGCTTGTTTGCTTTCATTTTTGTCAATGCCAATAATTTGAGCTGCCCCATGGCCTCGAGCTCCCTCTATTACCTAACACAATTTCCCACTGATGGATGAAGGTAAAACGGATGAGGAGAAATTAGGTAAACGCTTGTGTGAGTGTCTAGTAGTACTTACGCCAAGTCCAACAGCGCCAAGGCCCAAAACAGCAACAGTGGATCCCTTTGGAACCTTGGCTTCCTTCCAGACTGCCCCAAATCCTGTGGTGAAACCACAGGAAAGGAAGCTAGCATGTGGAAGAGCAATTCTGGAATCAATTTTGACAACATAATTAGCATCAATAGTTGTGTACTCCGACCAAGTGGAGCAGCTAAGGAAATGGTAGAGCTTTTGACCCCGACAGGACATCCTCGGCGTGCCATCAGTCATTAAACCTGTGAAAGCTTGAAGCGGGTAGGTTTGGCATAGATTAGTCTTCCCAGTCCTACAATTTTCGCACCCCCCGCACTCCCCTAAGTAAGTTGGTATAACAATATCTCCTTCCCTCAGCTTCGTGACTCCTTCCCCAATGCTTTCTACAATTCTGAGAGTGCACACGTTAGAGGCGTAATCATTATTTGACTGCTTAAGTGTATAATTCAGAAACAGAGAGACTAGATTACCCAACCCCTTCGTGTCCTAGAACTCTGGGGAAGACCGGCTGCAAAAGGACATCAAAGTAAGTAAGTATATCAATATGATAAAAGTAAGAATGGATGAGGTCGAAAGGAAGCAACCGAACCGAAGGGAATCCCTTGCAGGCAAGGACGTCAGTGTGGCAAAGGCTGGCAAACAACATCTTGACCCTGACTTCACCAGATTTGGGGGGATCCACTTGTATCTCTTCCACCTTTGGGGTCTCATTTGCTTCCCAACATACCACCGCTGCGGAAACAAGATTACTACTTTGTGAGTTTGTTTTTAAAAGAGAACGTCAACATACATACTGACATACATACATACCTCTGCATGTGATCATCTGTGACATGGTTAGCTGAGAATTGAACTTGGTTCATCAATGGACTGGAGAAGGAGGAGGAGGATAGGACGTTTTTATATATTTTCACCGACAAGAATTATGCCCGCGTTGACCGCGTGCTCCAATTTTTTTATGTAATAATTAACACGGCCCCCATACCCCCACCCACACACAGTAGTAGGTGTTATCACTTGTGATAGGGACCTGCCGATGTACTCTGTCCTCAACTCCTAGTGTGATTGTAAACGCATCATTTGTTTCAAAATTTTGGTTCGTAATTTTCATCCATATGTAGAATACTAGTTATTGACATGTGCGATGCACATTGTGTTTTTGTAATGGCGTATTTAATAGTTTTTTGATTTCTTTTTAGGGAGAATTGAAACTATGGTTTCAAACTGTTCATTTTTTTCAAATTTTATCCAAATCTTTTTTTATGCCATCCAAAGTCTTAAACCTTTCGTTTTGTTGCAACGAAGAAGTTGACCAAAAAATTGACCTTGACCACAATTTTGACTAATTCTAAAATAACAAAATGATAATTTTATATATTTTTCATCACTATCCTTTTCATTTTTTTCTTGCTTGGAGTCGTTGCATCTAGTGATTGAAGAAGTGATGTATTTGCTATTGATGCTGGAAGAGTCTTTTCACTAAACAAACAGGAAGTCTGGTTAGGGTAAATGCAAGCTTTTTCCTTTGTCATCGACCGCATTCTTACCATCGGTTGTTGATGAGACACGATCCAATAAAAATAATATCGTATCTATACTGAGCTGATTCTGGCTTTTTCTGTACAGCCTTCACGAAGAAAACATTGTCTTTTTCTATTATCATACGTATGAGGTCAATGATAGAAGAAAAATGTAAATGTTTTTTTTTTCCAATCTAGAAGAAAAATCAATAGTAATTACCTCCAAAGTGTTGTTGCATGTAGGAATGGGCAAAACCCAAATCAACCCGACTAAATCGCCAACCAGACCCAAACCGACTGGTTTGGGTCGATTTTTTTAATTTTTTTATTGGGTTTCGGGTCACGGTTCAGATTGGGTCGGGTTGTGGGATAACAACCCAAACTCGGAATAACTTGAACCGAACTGACCCGATTACATAATTAAAAAAAAAAACGTTAAATGAGAGGAAAAGCCCTAATTGCCTAAAGGGGTTTTTGCTTAAAAAGCCTAGTCAACAATACTTATTGGTAAAATAGTCAATCTCAATAGTTTTTGTTCCAATAGCCTTTGGTCTATTTAATCATACATTAAAAGTCTTAAATACCCTTCAATTGAAATGTCTAAAATATCCAATTTGAAATAAAAATTTACCAAATCCCTCACACATGAATCCTCACTTTTGTTCTACTTTTCATACACAATTTAAAACCAACAGTAAAATGGCATACTGCCGTTTTAAACGACTGAATGCCGTTTTAACTAATTATATGTTTGTATCAATTTATGTTTCTTCGTATCCACATAAAAATTAATGAAAACAAGTTTTAACAATATTTTGAGCGAAATTGAGAGTCCCTGATCCAAAACGGCATGATGTATTTATAAACGGTTTGGTGACATTTTAACTAACGTAGATAATTTTTCACTACATTTATAATGAAATTGAGACCCTATAATCTAAAATGACATGTTGCCATTTTAAATGATTATGTGTCATGTCAACTAATTTCGTATCTGCTTTACTTTATTTTCACTTGTATGCACATGAAAATGAAGGAATTGAAGTTTTCATTATGTTTGGACCTGTTTATCAGCATAAAGTTCACTCGATAATAACCAACACGATTGGTCTATGAGTAAGCTGTATTAAACTTGACTACAAAATAAAGTAAATAAAACAAGTATGGTATATAAAACATAGCATGTACAACCGTTCAATATATATAACTATCTATGATATTCTAAACATTGTTTTTACTGATTTCAAAGAAACATCGAGAATTTGTGACTCAAAACGGTATGTAGTCATTTTAAACGTATATATATAATTTTTGCTAATTTCGTGTTCATTTTGCTCCATTATTGCTCGTTTTCACATGAAAGTGTAAGAATGAAAGTTTTAACTAGATTTAGACGTCAAAGTCCACAAAAAATTCAA